CACTCCTGCTCAGACTGGTCTTGAATTGACCTCTAGCAGTCCTCCTGCCTTGGCCTCCCAAAGTGCTAGGATTACAGGTGTGAGCCACTGTGCCCAGCCTCTCATCCCTTTTTTGATAGAAATCTCCTACATAGCAGGGACCAACATTTACTGTGCATTTATTATATGCCAGACACTGACATATAACATCTGAAGGAGTTCAGGAAATGCCACCCCAAAATATGCCACTTTGGACTTCAAACTGAGGGCATTTAGAAAACAGCAGATGCGTGCGGCTGGGAGGCATGTGGGGTGGTGGGGTGGCATTCTCTGAACTTTCCTTATCTGCCTAAAGACAGATCCTCCAAAAGGAACTCACTTGTCATGAATCCCCTCCCTGGGAATCTCATGAACCAGGGAAGATTAAACTCACATCACAGGAGAGGAGACTAGAGGTTGACACTATGCCCAGACAAACTTTGTCACAGACTGTTACCTATTCTTCTGAGGTTTCATTCATCTTCCCCCAAAATGATTTATTCTCCCCTTAGTTGCCTACATCCCCCCTCCCCTCTCCTCTATGAAGAGGGTATATAAGCTTCTAGATCTCACTGGATTTGGGAATATTCACTTTTCTTTCATGTGATGCCCCCATGCATGTGATAAATTTGTATATATACCTGCTATAGTTTGGATATGGTTTGTTTGTCCTCACCAAATCTCACGTTGAAATTTGATCCCCAGTGTTGGAGGTGGGGCCTAATGGGAGGTGTTTGGGCCGTGGGGGCGGATCCTTCATGAATAGATTAATGCCCTCCCTGGGGGTGAGTGGAGTTCTCACTCTGTTAGTTCCTGCCAGAGTGGTTGTTAAAAAGAGCCTGGCACCTCCCTTCCTCTCGTTTCCCCTTTCACCATGTGATCTCTGCACATTCCAGCTCCCCTTCACCTGCCACCATGAGTGGAAGCAGCCGGAGTCCCTCACCAGATGTCCAATCTTAAACTTTTTCAGACATCAGAATCATGAGCCAAATAAACCTTTTTTCTTTATAAATCACCCAGCTTCAGATATTCCTCTATGGCAATACAAAACAGACTAAGATAATACCTTTTCTGCAGTTAATCTGCCTGCTGTCAGTTTATTTCATAGATTCAATTATCAAACCCTCAGAGGGTATAAGGAAAGTCTTCCCTTTCCTTCACATCCTGTTTAAGCACAGCTATCTTAAAAAATAAATATCATCATCTCCATTTTATAGATGAGAAACCTAAGGCTCTGTAAAACAAGCAAAAATCACTTGTCCTAAATCACACAGCTAGTAAGTGAATAATATGGGATTCAAACCAAGACCTAAGTCCGAAGTCCATGTTCCTTCCAACTATCTGCTTATCACTAAGTGGGTCAGAGAGTTACCTCTCTGATCTCTATGTCAATTATTTGTTCTATGGATTAACCAGAGATGAGAAGTATTTATCAATAAAACCAGTCCCCGCCCAATTCCTTAGCATATTTCACTCAATTAGTGGGTATTCAGAGCTTGTTGACTTATTCTGAATCTTTATTATTCAGGCTTTGTCAACTAATATTATTTTAATATTAAGCCCATACAAACAAAAATAGGAAGGGAAACTTGATGGGACAGACAAGCCAGTGAGGTACTACAAATCATTTATATTTGAATTTCTGGATTATTTACTTTTCTGGATTACCTACAACTCTCACAGTACCACACATAAGAGGGTAATTGCACAATTGTCATTTGGTCCTATTTCCTTTGTATCTTTCCATAATGTATTATCTTTCTATAATGCTCTTCATACAGGAGGCACTTTAAAAGTGTTACAGGAATCCCTTGGACCAGTTCCCTTTTTGAAATTCTAGGTAATCTAGGTTACTGTGGCCAACTTCATGTCCTATTCATTTGACAAACAATATTGGTACCTACTATGTGGTAGGTGTTATGCTATGTATTGGGAATACCAAAATAGAAGGGACATGGTTCTTACCATCAAGAAGCTCACAGTTTAGTGGTGAGAAAGCTATGTGAAACATTCAAAATACAATGTAGTAAGTGATATTGATGTATATTCAGAGTGCAATGAAGGCATAAAGGAAAATCTGTTTAGAATGAGTTGTGGAGCCATACCAGAGAGAACATGTGAGTTGATTCTTGAAGAATTTATCAGGTTTCCAAGGTAGGGGAATTCCTGGCAAAGAAACCAGCTTGTGCAAAGACATGGAAGTACGAAAAGTATCAGTGAATTTAGTAGTGTGCAAGCATGGCTTCCTTGAAAAATGGTGGAAGATGATGTCGGAGAGGCAGATTATAGGTCATGGTAAATAGCTGATATCTTGTCTCCTATAGTACATGGGGTCAGACAGGTAAGGTAAACGAGTGACAGGGACAGTATTGGAGACTCGGGGAAAGAGGTTGGTGATAACCATGTGGAACTTGACTGTTCACGCTTGTTTCAAGGGGACAGTTCTAACTGAATGCCGCCATATGAGAATGTGGATACAGTGTTAGCAAGTCTTCTGATTTTTTAATACAAAAGCAGGAAATTTGGATTTTTAAAAATGTGAAATCTCCAGATTTCCAAATGCTGGCAACTGATTTTTTTTTAATTCAAAGTTTTAGTCAATACTACACCAAACACAACACATCTGTTTGCTGGATGTGGCCTGTAGGCTGTCATTTTGAGACCTGTGCTGTAGGGTATAGGGTACTTATAGAAGCTTCTAGCTAACTGAAGGAACACTTTAAAACACTTAAAAAAAAAACCCCACAAACCCACATACATTCCTCACTAGATTGCCCCGTTCCAATATTCCTACTGCATATGAAGCCATATGTTCTTCCTCTGGGGAACCAAAGTGAGGTTCTAGGACAAATGCAATTCTCAGGGCTTCCGAGGCCAATGGTGCAAACCAGGGTCTCAGTCAAGTTGTTAAAGCCTAGTAAAACATGGTAAGCTGAGACCAGTATGGCCCCTCAGCATCACCACCACCACCAGGAGATGGCTGTCATTTGTTCCCTTTTCATTTTGGAGGGGGAAGGGGCAGCCTCTTTAAACTGTGTATGCAATAAAGACAACATAGCCAGTGATAACATGGATAAAACACAATGTAATAGCTGTTAAAGTTCAAACTCCTCATTTTACAGCTGGCGAAAGTAAGGCCCCTCAAAATCACAGTGACTTGTTCAGAGTGACCCAGTAAACTAGTGGCAGGGTGAGGTTTCCCGACTCCTGGTGTAGCATTCTTTCCAATAATCCTGGGCTGTGATAATTAAGGTAAATCAGCCTGGCAGTTTTCCTAGCATCTAGAATTTCTGGACTGGACAAGCAGGACCTGAGAGCAGCTGTTAAATGCATTTTTTTCTTATCTGTATGATGATATTTTTTACAAACTTTATATTTCATAGGTGGGGGCTAAAGGGAGAGCACACATATATTTTTGAAGCACTGAGACCTTTCACAAAGTGTATGGAAGAAAAGTTGTCCGTGGCTAATATATTTAAGGCTTATGACCTCTGTGCTCTCTGAACTGACCTCCCACCATATGCTTTTGATTTTGTTTTGTTGTTTCTCTTCTTTTGTCTTCTTTTCTATTTCCCTCTTTGTTTTTCTTCTCTTCTACCAGCCTAAGTCTTAGGCCTACCTGTAAGTGCTCCCGGGCATCCCTGAGCCTCCTTGGTGGCACTCAAGATGTCTGCTGCAAGTCAATAAAATAGCTTATTATTTATTTTTCAATTAATAATGTGGGAATGAGAGTGCATAGTGACTAAGCAGCATACATGTTTCCCCTGCTATGGTCATTTAGCTTTCTATAATCTCAGACTAATAACTCTTGTCAATTATGACTTTTGATTTGACTAATCCTTTCCATCCTTCATTTCGGGGTCTATTGTTCTGCCATTTGCCACTTTTTTTTCGTTTTTTGCTCTGAACCCATTTCTGATTGGTGCAGCTGTTGAAGATGCTGCAGTTGCAGCAGTGTACATCTGGAACATTTGGCTGACTTGTTGAACTTCCCCCAGGGAGTACTCCAGGGGAAGGATGGGAGGGGTGGAGGGGCCAGAACAGTTGCCTGCAAACAGAGATGCCAGTAGTGTCTGGCCATTTTATGGACCACCGTTGTAAAAATCCACCTCATTCTGGCCCTCAGTTTCCCCATTTGCTCATTGAAGACGCATGTTCGTCAATCAAAACTCCTGCTGCAATGGAAGAGGAGAAACCATTCTGGCTGTGGATTCTCTCATACAGCACTTTCTGCATTGTAAAGAGATCCAATACATATTTGTCAAATTAATTAATATATCAAGAAATCTTAGGACACTCTTTTACCCTTCATGGGGCAATATCACTTCAGTTCTGCTTGGCACAGAACTGGGAAGGCTTCTCCTTCCCTTAGATTGAGTCCCCAGACTCACTCCTGGAGTGAGGCTGTTTGAGTCCCAGCCCGTTCCCAGTTCCTTTGGTTCCCAGGCTCCTGGGTCTCCTTCTCTTCTGGTGAGCCATTGGATTGCAAACACAGCAGGCATGGTTTCATTCCAAATCCAGAACTGTTTTAATTAGTTTAACGTCTGTTAAACGCTTTGAAGATTGAAAGCAACAGATAAGTACTGGATGATGTTATTAACAACTGCAGTTAATTGCAAACATTTCTATTAATGCTAGTTTCTGCCTCCTTTTCTTTGCTCTACTTTCTTTCCAAGGTTCCCAAATTCTACTCAGCCTCCCTCCCCCTCCTTTCCTCCCCCGTACTGGCGCTGAAGGGTTAAATTGGGGCGGAGTCCAGGGATGAAGGGCAGCGGCAGTCACCAACTGGAATGGGGCAAGCGGGAAGAGCTGGGTGGGGCGGCCAGGCAGAGGCCAACCCTCACGCCCCCAGGCCCCGCCCCGCGGCTGGAGGCCCGGGCGGAACGGCAGGGGGCGGGGCGCCGAGGCTTGACGGCCGGGTGGTTGGGCGTCCGGGCAGCCGCTTGAGGGATGGGGCGGGGTCGGCCAGGACCTCCTCCCTCATTCCCTCGGCGGGCCGAGCCGCCCCTGTCTCCCGCCCTCCTCCTCGCTTTCCCACCCCTCGGAGTGGAGCTGCACATGCGGCTGCTCCTTGCTCCGTCCCGCCCAGCCGCCGTCGCTCAGGAACGGGTCCCTGCAGCCCCCAGCCGATGGCAGGACAGTAGCTGCCTGTCAGAGGTCGTGAACGGCTGAGGCAGACGCAGCGGCTCCCGGGCCTCAGAGAGTAGGTGTCTCCGGAGGCCATGGGCTACCCCGAGGTGGAACGCAGGGAACCCCTGCCCACGGCAGCGCCGCGGGAGCGGGGGAGCCAGGGCTGCGGCTGTCGCGGGGCCCCTGCCCGGGCAGGCGAAGGGAACAGCTGCCGGCTCTTCCTGGGATTCTTTGGCCTCTCGCTGGCCCTCCACCTGCTGACGTTGTGCTGCTACCTAGAGTTGCGCTCTGAGTTGCGGCGGGAACGGGGAGCCGAGTCCCGCCTAGGCGGCCCGGGCACCCCTGGCACCTCTGGCACCCTGAGCAGCCCTGGTGGCCTCGACCCTGAGGGTCCCATCATCCGCCACCTTGGGCAGCCGTCACCTCAGCAGCAGCCGTTGGAACCGGGAGAAGCCACACTCCCCCCCGACTCTCAGGACGGGCACCAGGTGAGTCAGCTAGTAGGGGCGGCGGCGGAGGCCCCCTCCCCTTGTGGGTAGGGCGAGGGCCTTCCACCACAGGGGCCTGGAAGCATTCTGCCACCTCGAGCCAAGTTAGAGGGCAGCACCAGGGAGGGGGCAGGCGAACAGGGGAGAAGGTTGCCCTGGGCACGTTGCCCTAGGTCCCTGGCCCAGCTTACCCAGACTCTCTCAGGACCCCTTGACTTGGAGACGCTACCCGCACCCGCCGCCCCTGGCTGCGGGATGCCTCGGAAAAAGTTGGCGACGCTCCCGCCCGGGGCGGGGGAGGAGGTGCCTGCGCTGCCCCCCTGGCCGACTAACGGCGAGCTGCTTGGCCCTTCTGCTGCTGGTGAGGTTCTGTGCCCGCGGTGCTTGTTTTTTCGTGTCCAGAGCTGATGCCAGCACTAGCAGGCTCTCCTTTAGAGTTGGAGCTGTAAACAGCTGTAATAATTGCCCCACGCCCGTTGAAACAACTTTAAACCGTATTTTTAGCGCGGGGTCCTTGTATGCTGACCAGAACATGGGCTTGTTCACACTTACCTGCAATTTGAGACTGATTGTCCTCGGTGTTCTAGTGAGGATCAGCGCCCCTGAGGAATTCTGGTAGAAATATGCCGTCTTGCTAGACAACTTCTGAACAGCAATTTAAAAAAATCTATGGAAATAAAACTCACCCTTTGCATGCCAGTTCTGACTCTTTTTTTTTTGGGGGGGGGTGCAGTGGGAAGGATGGGTGTGTAGCGTTTTTACTACTGCTAGCTTGAGAACAGGAATCTGCCAATGGAATAATCAGGAGTAGTCTCCCAAGAGCAGTTATTTTTGCAATCTTTATGATGTTTGTGCCTTATTAGCAAACCATTAGCTTTGGTGTTTGTTTTCTAGCTCTTTATTCAGGTAAATTTAGTGCACTTAACGTAAGTATTGCCTTGATTGCCATTTTCTGTCTTGTATGTGAAACTTAGGAGAAGCCTCTAAGAATCCTTTTGAGGTAGTTAAAGAAAAATAGTGAATTTGTACCTTTGGGGGAAGAGAGCAAATTGTGCAAATAAGTTCCTTGAGGTGAGGGACCCAGGCCTTCTGTATTTACTACCACATCTAGAGTCATTGTCACAACTCTGTAAACCTTGTTTTGCTACTTTGACCTCCCGTCCAAAGTTGTACACTTGATAGAGATATCACATTCATGATAATATTGTAATGTTAGGACTGACACTTTTTTTTTTTACAATGTCCATTGTGAAGTTGCCCTGAATCTTAAAATATCTTGCTAGCACACTCCAATTTATATAACAGCTTATCAAAGAAGAGAATCAGCAGACATGCTTCTCATACTTGAAACTTTAAACACTGTAGCTAAACGATAATTAACTAGGATTCTGGTTCTTTTATTTATCTGTACCCCCACCCATGCCCAGTAGAAATATTAGGCAGCTGAACATTGATATTCTGTGAGAAGATGAAGGAATTAGACTTCCTTAGTTACATGGTGGCCAAGACTTTTTGGCATTCAGGATGGACAGAGCCATGTTTATAGACTGAGGATTAGCAGGACAGCTGTACTCTAGGGCTTCTGTGATGGCATGGGATTCTTGCAGCTCTGTAATGTTGCCTGCCCTTTGCGTGGCACTAAAATAGTTCTGTCTAGGTTTAAACACAGCTTCCTATCTTCTGTCCTTTATTCTTTCTGTTTTAGTCTTTTTGAGCAGTAGAAGCAAGGATACTGGCTCTTTATATTTGTTGACATCAATTGGAATCAGAGTTTATTAGAGTTAAGAGGGGCCAATGAGTCTATTTTGTTTGATTCCCTTGGAAAACACATAGGCCCTGAGGGGGAAATGACTTGCCCAGGATCATACAACTAGAGTTAAAACTAAGATGGAAGTCACTCTTTTAACTCCGAGTTCAGTGTCCATTCCCCCATAGCATACTATCTCCTGGGGGTTTCTAGAGGAGTGGGGTGAAGTTCCATAGTAGAATTTTTACAAAGGAGAGAGTGCAGAGCTACATCATTTTGTTCTATTTCACCTACATTTTGACCAGACGGTTTAAACATGTGTTCCTTGTTCTTCCTGAACTTCACTTTCAGAAGACTTGGAGTACACTTTGAAGGAATTTTAGCCGAGATTCAACTTAACTTTATCTTAATGATCTTAGTTTTAGTATACAGTAAAATTTTTAAAAAGGAAAAGTTGATTGGCTATTAGAGTTAAATTAATACTGCTACAGCTTGGGTAAAATTTCTAGTGCCCTGGTGCACCCTCTGCTGGCTTTGCAGGGACATTTAATTGCAGTATCTGCTGACAGTCAAAATTCTACTTTGTGCTGACAGATTCTGATTCATAAATAAGGAAGTAAACAGTCTTGTGGGATTTGGCCACGTAGGTCATATTTTTATATTTTAGTTTTTCAACACAAACAGCTGCTGTTACAGCTAATCTTGGATGTAGAGGGAGAAAGATAAAAATATGCACCCTTCAATGGGCAGTACATTCAGGTTTCTCACCAATTTATCTACAAGAAGTGAAGGCAAGCTGATGAGAATAAACTGTGGGAAGATAGATCATGCAGGTAGGCAAAGTAAACCTATCCATGCTTATGAAATGATGGGCTCTGGGCTCTCAGTTATGACTCAAGAAACGGATCTAGAAATCACTGTAGATGTGTGTATATCATCTCAATTAAAAAACTTTTTAAACAGAATACAGAAGGAAGTTAGGGTGGTCAGGATACATAGAAGAGAGATCAGCAAAGCCCTTTAAGGGAAATGTTATAATAGAAAAGTCTCCCCAGTGGGGACACAGTTGCTGATGATAAAAAAGTGAGAGGGTCATATCAGACCTTCTGAAATCATAACTACATCCTTCAGCGGGAGCAGCCAAGTGGCTATAGACTTATCTGGATACTTGATGGAGATGATCTCAAGGGCCAGGGATATCTCATTAGTGTCTGAATTAGACAATATATTGACAATACAATATCAGAGTGAAAATACAAAAAATCACTGTTGATCACTCTTTAGAGATGTTCTAGTCATGATTGTGGTCCTCGAAGGCCAAGAATATGATGACCATGGTCAGTAAGGGTGTCAAAAAAAACAATAAAACAAAACCCTTATGTTTTCCATGGAAAAGATCAAAAGTGTATTTGCCTCTGCAATCAGATAGGAAATTCTGGTGGTGGCTGCTCCTCAAGAAAAACCAAACAGCTGATAAAAGTCCCCAGAAACCCAATTAAATTGATCAAAAGGATGGAGGGATTTTCTAGAGGTTTTTTTTTCTTTTTTTTTTTTTTTTTTAGTCTGGAGAGAAAGAGGTTGAGGGAGGAATATGATCAAAGTCTATCAAACCATGAGAGAGATGAGTATGGTTAATATGTTGGTATAATTTAACAGTTCAGTTCAATAAATAGCCTACTGTGCCAGACACAATGTTCAGTATTAGGTATCTTTTAATGCTTGAAAAATTATTTTTTGAGGGAAACAGTAATTCAACTCATTGCCCCAAGTGATGGTCTAAACTATGGGTAGATCACTAAGGGTTTATTCAGGACTATTGGGGGATATTTGGGGTATGTTCCTAATTATTTGAGGTGATGTCATAGAAGTCAGCCGTAAAGTTCTACAAAACATTTGTTGGTATAACTAGATAGACCATTAGTGTATCCAGATTTGACATTACTTATGTTAAGGCTGATTGATCAAGAATTACTCAAGGTGATTCAAGGTGAGCATAACGAATAAATCTAAGGATTTTTTAGGAACGTATAATCAGGATAAAATAGCTTTCTATGGGTTTAAATGAGACTTTTTAGTGTGACATTGAAGACTTTTGGTCAACTGGCTTCATTATAACCACCCCATTTTCTCTGTCACTAACTCTACTTCTTCAACCCACCCACCATATCCTGTCTTAGAATCACTCTCTAGTTACTGCTGTTGTTTTTAATATATTTTGTGTCTTTACATTAGAGCTCCTCAGAAATCTACCTTTTTTGTCTTTCTTCACAGTGCCTGACACAGTGCTAGTTAGTTAGTATACTCAAATACTTGTTGAGTTGAATATTATTTTGGGACTTTGGAGATGTGTATGTAAAAGAAAGACATTTTCTCTTTATGTAACAGGCCTGTTTTCCTCAGGTCTTGCTAAGTCTATGAACTTTCGGCCATGCTTAGGTGAGTAAATAGCTCCATTGGTAATGTTTCACTGGTTTGTAGAATAATTAGAAAGTGAAATGGTGAAGAACTCTAATTATATGGTCTCAGTCTCCTAGTTTCACATCTTACCTCTAAGATAGTACAAAAATCTTTCTGTAATATATCATTTGATGTTTTGTTTTATTTGCTTTTAGGTCTCATCTCTTTATTTCTGTCTCAGATCTTGTGAAAAATAATCTGTAATTTATCTGTGACTACCTTATAGAGATCTCTTTATACTATAGAACTTCTGAAGCTACTTAATTCCCAAGAACATTTCCAAGAAAAACCACTTGCCTTGCCTGCAGGGCGGCCCTCATAGAGGACCATCTTTATCTGACTCCTGTAAATACTCAGCACTTACCTTTTCATTTCTTTCTTTCTTTCTTTCTTTCTTTCTTTCTTTCTTTCTTTCTTTCTTTCTTTCTTTCTTCTTTCTTTCTTTATTTTAAAAACCTTTCTACTAAAGTACAAAGCACATACAGAAAAGTGCACAAATCATAATTGTACAATTTGATGGATTATTACAAAGTGAACATACTCATGATACCAGCACCTCTCAAGAAAGAGAACATTATTAGTAACCCACAATCACTACTTATGCCACATTCCTGTCACTTTATCGTCCTTGATCTCCAGAGTTGGTGACTATCCTGACTTCTAACATTATTGATTAGTTTTGCACATTTTGAACTTTGTATAAATGGAATCAAACAGTATATGTTCTTGGGGTCTGGTGTTTTTTGCTTAAAACTATATTCATGATAACCATACTGTTGCATACAGCTGTAGTTTG